TTCACTTGAATTGTCCACTTGATGGCGCAGTAGAGCAAATGAATCATCACAATGCTTCGAACCATGAGTCGACCAATTGGGTGGAAAGCTTCAGTTCATCATGAGGCTTCATCTCACCATCACTAGTGGAAAGCTTCAGTTCATCATGAGGCTTCATCTCACCATCACTAGTTTCCGCACCTGCAGTTCTTGCGCCCGTTTCCGCTGAGGGTTCTTGGTTTGTTTGTTTCTTACTTTTAGTTTCTGAAAAATGTGTCTGGAGAAATATGCAGCAAAACCAGCAAGAGCCAAAACTAATAATAAGGTGACAACAACGACGACCACAGCGACCGTGGATCGACCTACTGATGTAGAAAAGACAAGAAGGTCACCACAAATACACAAAACCCCAGACAGGGATGATGCAGAGTAAAGTTGGACTGTGTTACGACCCTAGCCGGGCCTTCTCCTGAAATTGTCCTTGTGTGGGTGTGTTCTGCATATCTCCGGCCTTAGGTGCCACCTTTTTTGTGCAGCTGACTCCCATCAGCAATTAAGAATACTTAAGGCTAGTGATGGGTAGATGTGGCCTCATGAAACGTTTCAGTACATTCCCCAAACTGTATCGATGCTGTGTCAACACAGTGTTGCTGTTTTACTAACACCTGCTGGACCTTAAATATCATTGCAGGCAACTTACTTGAGACTCACAACAGACACTGATTCAATGACCAATTTATACTTGTATACACTGTAAGTTATTGTACTTTCCATGGAATCATTTTATATATTTGACATTTCAAATATTGTAGACGTCTTTAAAATATATTGTGAATGACATTAAGTGAAAATTAAAATGAAAGTATTGTTAATATAATATTACCCATTTAAATTTAACCGACTCAGAGTTTATTATAAATTTCTATTCAGAAAAATAAGTGTAGCACCCAACTCAAGTAGCTCAGGATTAACCCTCAGTTAAGGTGGTGATAGTACTATGAGCGGAGCCCTGGGTACGTTACTTAATTTTGCTGGTAAACAGGAGAAACAATAATTAACCAGTTTTAACCTTTGTACTTAGAAGTTTTAATATTGACAGTGCCTCCACTTAGTGAAAATGATATGAGTTCTGTTTAATCTTCACTAAGAATAATGAATTTATCTAACATGTTAAACCCCTTTTTACTTTTTAATAACCGTTACCACTTATAAACTCTCTAATTAATAATTGTGACACAACGCAAAACTTTAAATTCAAAATGTCAAATTTAGTCAAAGCAAAGTATGATTTAAATTAAAACAAAATACAATATTCTTTACAATTAAATTGACCGTCGTTCACAACTCACAATGTTTTAGAAAACACGTTTATCCAAAATACTTCCTTTTAAGTTCAGTACAAATTTGTAACCTTTGTGAGCTCTTTTACCAAAACCGTTGCAGGCCTGATCGTTGCTCGGGCTCGTTGGGCCAGAAAACACACAAGTTGCCGCTTCACTTGTTAAACAAGCAGAAAATAAAAGGCACGTGCTAAAGTCTACTCACAAATCCTTTGGGCTAAGTGCGCGGGCAAGCTGAGGGGCAGGCTCGGTTTGTG